CAGGTCTGCCACCTCTGGGTACGTGTGCATACCTGTGCAGTTGAACTCCTGATCAACACTCTTTCAGAGATCAGCTGCAGAGCGTCAAAAGAAAATGAGGACAACCTCACAAGTGAAAATTAAGGTAGTCTTCCCAAAAAATGAGATCAGATTCTCGACTGAAAATCTGATTTTTTTTTTTTTGGAACAAAAAGGTAAAAGATTGTGAAATCTATAACAGACACAGAAAAGACATAGAAACTAAGGGCAATTATACTGTACTATTACTACTTATAGTATATTTATATTACATTTGTCACTAAAAGATTTAAATAAAACATGAACACCCAAATAGGAGACTAGGAATAATAGTAATAATCACTATGGTTGTGCTAGGCTCTGTGATATTTTATAAGACATTAGGGCTGCTGCTTTGTAAACTTGCCCTGGGCAGGGGCGGACTGACCATTTGGAAACTCGGGCACTGTCCGAGGTCCCAGGGTCAGTAGGGGGCCCCATGAGATGCCCCTGGTACCTTTTTCATAGGCTTTTTTGAGTTTGGGCAAGGACACAAAGGTCCCCCATGATCCCCTATTGCCCAGGGGCCCCATGAGTTGTCAGTCCACCCCTGGCCCTGGGTATGTCTGGCTATGAGAAGATAATTTAGCTATATTTAGAAAAATGATGGGGAGGATGTGGGTGGGCTTTGGGCAGGATATGTGGTACTTAAGCTTAATGTTGAGGTTTGCCAAGTTAACAGGCCAACTTACTGTATACACTCACCAGCCTCTTTATTAGGTACACCTGTTCAATTGCTTGGGAACACAAATTGCTAATCAGCCAATCACATGGCAGCAACTCAATGCATTTAGGCATCTAAACGTGGTGAAGATGACTTGCTGAAGTTCAAACCAAGCAACAGAATGAGAAAGAAAGGGGATTTAGGTGACTTTGAACATGGCATGGTTGTTGGTGCCAGATGGACCGGTCTGAGTATATAAAAAATTCCTGATCTACTGGGATTTTCACACACAACCATCTCTAGGGTTTAAAGAGATTGTCCAAAAAAGAGAAAATATCCAATGTCCAGCAGTTGTGTCATGGAAAATGCTTTGTTGATGTCAGAGGTTAAAGGAGAATGGGCAGACTGGTTTGAGGTGATACAAAGGCAACAGTAACTCAAATAACCACTCGTTACAACCAAGGTATGTAGAATACTCTTTGAGCACACAACACTTTAAATCTTGAAGAAGATCCTGTCAGCTTAGATCAGGAAACGGAGGCTACAATTCACACAGGCTCATCAAAACTGGACAATAGAAGATTGGAAAAACATTACCTGGTCTGATGAGTCTCAATTTCAGCTGCGACATTCAGATGGTAGGGTTAGAATTTGGCATAAACTATATGAAAGCATGGATCCCTCCTGCCTTGTATCAACAGTTCAGACTGGTGGTGTAATGGTGTGGGGGATATATTCTTGGCACACTTTGGGCCCCTTAGTACCAAATGAACATCATTTAAACGCCACGGCCTCCATAAGTATTGTTGCTGACCAGCAGGATAATACCATGTCACAAAGCTCAAATCTTCTCGAACTGGTTTCCTGAACATGACAATGAGTTCACTGTACTCCAATGGCCTCCAGTCACCAAACCCCAATCCAATGTGATGGAACGGGAGATTCACATCATGGATGTGCAGCTGACAAATCTGCAGCAGCTGCGTGATGGACCAATATGGACCAAAATCTCTGAGGAATGTTTCCAACATCTTCTGGAATCTATGTCATGAAGAATTAAGGTAGTTCTGAAGGCAAAAGGGATTCCAACCCGGTACTAGTTAGGTGTACCTAATAAAGTGGCCAGTGAGTATATATTTATAAGATAATTATATTTCTGTTCATCCAGTTCTGAGATTTACCCTGCTCTGCCACACAGCATGGCCTTGTCTGGCAGAGTAAGAGACCTGATTCTCTCTGCTGCAGTTCAGTAACACTTGAATGTCTTGACCCTTCCCCAGCCTGTGCCTGAACAGCAAAATGAGAAGCAACTGACTGATAAGTTCATCTCTCTGTGACTTTGATATCTGCTCTTATCAGCATGCTCCTTCTTAGTAAATCAGTACTTCAGCTTTCAATGCTGGTTCTACCTCTCTTAGTCTGAGCTATGCAGTACAAGAGATTACAAGAGGCTACAACCAAGGTAGATTCAGGCACCTGAGAGCATTGTAAACCTTCCTACCTGCATTTTGTGTTTTTCGCCTGCATGAGATGTGCATTGAAAATGTATGGTACACCAACCTATAGAAGAGTAAACCTTCACATTGCTGTGTTAGAAGATTTTTTTTTGTGGTCAAACAGGAGGCATGCACCATGACACTGTACAGGTTATTGCATGACCTCTGTTTGTAGTCTTAGAACTCTCAGTTTTTGTGTAGAAACTACATATCCCACAATACCCGGGTCTCTCCGTCTAGTGTTCTGCAGGTGAGAGCTTAACAGTAAATAGATCTGAAACGGGCATAAGCAGAGAGAATTCAAAGGGAGATCACCATGCTACATTAATTCCTAGCTCAAATAACAAAAACATTTGAAAGTGTACAATGCCTTTATGATAAATACAACTTTTTTTGACCTATTAATGAATAAAAAGCTTCATTAATGTGTACATTTTAACCAGTTTCTACCTGGCCTATTGTCAAATGATGGCCGGGTAGGACACTCGTCATTCTGGGTGGACATCAACGAAACGGACCTCACACACTCCCCACATGTGGTGCTGTGGCAGGATCTGTCAGAGTTGACCGATCAGTGTACTGGCTGTTGCCGGTACCATGTGATTGCCGTGACCTATCACAGCAAATCACAGGACAATTGTACACAATGGATGGCGTTCATTCATGACATTCATTGTGTACTATTGTGTTGATCTCTGTGATTGGTCAAAGAAAGAAAAATGTAATAAAAAAAAAAAAAAAATAAAAATAATTTTTTTTTTGCCTACTGTCACCAGTCAGTATCCCTGATCACTGCCACAGCAGTTAAATGATGATGCTGTACTGCACTGGTGACAGTATGTTTTAAAAAAAACGGGAAAAAAAATTATTGTTTTAAATTTCTTCATTTTTCAATTTTCCAAAAATTGTGACAAAAAAATTACAACTTCAAAAAACTCGCCATGCCTCTTACTAAACACCTTGGACTGTTTACTTCCAAAAAGGGGTCATTTGTATTGTCCTAGTGGGCCTCAAGAAATTAGAAAGACCGTCAGTACAACAGAAATGATCATTTTCAGATACAGTATACTGTTTATACCATAGGTTGTGGACTCTAAACCTCTAATACAGACTAAATAATATACACTGATTTGGGTTATTTTTATCAAATAAATGTAGCTGAATACATTTTGGCCTAAATTTGTGAAGAAAGATTATTTATTTGCAAAATGTTATAACAGAAACGAAAAACAAAAGTTTAATTTTTAAAATTTTCGGTCTTTTTTCATTTATTTAGCAAAATATAAAAACTCCAGCGGAGATTAAATACCATCAAAAGAAAGCTCTATTTGTGTGAAAAAAATGTTTTAAATTTCATATGGGTACAGTGTTGCAGGACCACGCAATAGTCATTTAACCTGCGACGGCGCTGAAAGCTGAAAAATGGCTTGGGCTGGAAGAGGGTGAAAGTGCCCGTTACTGAAGTGGTTAAAGCTGAACTCCAAGCAGATATACCATAGAATTGGCACTGTGCTCTGTGAATTCACAATGGATTTTTATTAGCTATGTGGTTTTTTTTTCTTTTCTTTTTTTTTTCTTTTCCTAACTGAGCTGAGTGAAATATGCTGGTGCCACACCAATAAATGATAATGTTCATAAAAAGTTGTGCGCACAGTCCGTCTCGCGCGGTATCTCTTCAGAATAGAGACTTGGATGCTTGCCACAGACAAGCAGAAGCTGACTGGCTACTCCTTGCATAGCTGAATCCCCAGGAGTACCTTCTGTAAAGGGGAAACTTCTCTGTAGCCATCAGCGAGACACACAGGCAAATAATAAAATCCTCATGATTCAGTGCAAAAGGTAACCGCTGATGGCTCACGTCCCAGTGATTTGTGGGTAAGAGATATGCATACGGTCTGTCTCGCTGGAAAGATGGTATGGCTTGGAGAAAAGAATGGTACAGCATGAAATAAAAGCCCTATTCCTGGAAGACTAAGAGACGTTGATGCTAGGCATACTTAGACACCTTTTTTCATCGATACATTTTAGATCTGGCAGAGTATTAAAGCGCTCCTTATCAATCACATCACGATTTTTAGTAATGTGTATGGAAATGTGTGTTTAATATGAAGGATCTCTGTTTTCCGATGTTTGATATCCATTGTCCATTCTCTGAAAGAATCCAGTCTAAACAAAATACCTTTCCATATTTTCTTATTGACAGGATTGTTCAGATCTCCAATTATTGCCAATAAACAATTCTAGCAAAGTTGGCTTAGCACAGCAGCTTAGTGGTTAGCACTTCTGCCTTGCAGCATTGGGGCCCCTGGTTAGGACATTATGTGCATGGAGTTTGCATGTTCTCCCTGTGCTTACATAGGTTTCCTCCAACACTTCAAAAACATGCTAACCACCAGGGGCGGACTGACCATTTGGAAACTCTGGCAGTCCCCGAGGGCCCAAGGTCAGTAGGGGGCCCCATGAGATGCCCCTAGTACCTTTTTCATGAGCTTTTTTGAGTTTGGGCAGGGACACAGGGGCCCCCATGATCCCCTATTGCCCGGGGGCCCCATGAGTTGTCAGTCCACCCCTGCTAACCACTTGAAGTGTTACTAAACCCACAACAGTAAAATTAGTCTGTATATGTCGTAAAACATGCTTGTTATACTCACTGTGGAGCTTAAGGGGTTAATCCTCTGAACTGAGTAAAAAGGATGTTTGATCCCATCTTATCTGATCCTCCCCTTCTTCCACATTTCCCATTTCATGTCCTGATAGCATACAGTTTCAGGGACACTCTGCACATGCTCAGTTTGGTATGTATTGCTATAGCGTTTTTTCTATTTCTTGGGAGGGTGCATGTGATCAGCACAGGGCCAATCAGCATTGTCCAGGCAGAGGGTCAGGGGTTATGCAATCTCTTAGGGCAGTGAGAGGAGCATGGAAACTCCTCCTACAAGCTTTAATCAGTGCTATAGCGTTTTTTCTATTTCTTGGGAGGGTGCATGTGATCAGCACAGGGCCAATCAGCATTGTCCAGGCAGAGGGTCAGGGGTTATGCAATCTCTTAGGGCAGTGAGAAGAGAATGAAAACTCCTACAAGCTTTAACCAGTGCTATAGCGTTTTTTCTATTTCCTGGGAGGGTGCATGTGATCAGCACAGGGCCAATCAGCATTGTCCAGACAGAGGGTCAGGGGTTATGCAATCTCTTAGGGCAGTGAGAAGAGAATGAAAACTCCTCCTACAAGCTTTAACCAGTGCTCTGCTGGACACTGATAGAAGTCAAAAGACTGCTGCTGTAGATACTTCTGATGAGAAAAGGTATTTAGCAGTTTATTTTTACTAAAATAATTGCAGTTCCATGTTCTGTGTACTATGGGAGACCAGATATAATGTATGCAGGGCCCTGGGTTTATTAACACTTTAAGACCTGGAAGTTTTTACCCCTTTTGTTTCCAAGCCATTTTTTTCCATTTAGCACTGTGCTATTTTAACTAGTAATTGCGTGGTCATGCAACAATGTACCCAAAGTAAAATTTATATTACTTTTTTTTCACACACAAATATAGCTTTCTTTTGGTGGTATTTGATCACTGCTAGGTTATTTATTTTTTATTATGCGAATGAAAAAAAGACCAAAAATTAAAAAAAATATATATTTTTTTTATTTTCTTCATAAATTTAGGCCAAAATATATTCTGCTACATGTCTTTAGTAAAAAAAAAAAAATCCCAATAAGTGTATATTGATTGGGTTTGTGTGAAAGTTATAGCGCAATCAAACTATGGAATATACTAAAAAAAAATTTTATATACTAGTAATGGTGGTGATCTTATAGTGGGACTTTGATAGTGCAGCAGGCAATCTGACGCTAACTGACACTGGGTAGAAAATGACTAACTGACAGTGACATCACCAGTGACAATAATACAGTCATCAGTGCTAATACTGTCACTGTATTAATGACACTGGCTGGGAAGGGGTTAACATCTCAGGGTAATCAAGAGGTTAAGTGTGTGCCCAACAAGTGTTAATGTGTGTAATGTGTGCTGATTTTTACTAAAAATCTCTTTGTTCCTTCTCCCTGCTTAGCATGGAGAACAAACAAAGATATTGTTCTCTCTGCATAGAACCCTGTGTTGATTGTCAACACAGAGCCCTGGGCTATGATTGGATACAGCCGATCAGCAGGTCCTGGCCATTTATCATTGGCTGGGACCTGCTGACAAAATCCCATTGTGTCTAATCACAGCAGGAGTTGGCGGGTGGAGGTGCCCTGTACCCAGAGGAGGTACAGTGATGTACCTGTACGGGCCGCCCATCTGCAGTACATTGTGGGCGGTCCTTAAGTGGTTAATTAATTATGTGTATGCATGTGAGACAGAGACCTCAGATTAAGTCTTCTTGTGATGGAAAGTGGAAAATAAACCAAAACAAATGTTTTCTATAACTACTCCAGGAAAATTATAATCAAATAATCCTCTCAGATATATATAAAAAAATGTATAATGCTTACGAACATTTAAAAACCATCTTTTTTTTTGCAATACAATTATTAAAGAACATATTACGACCGGACACATAGAAACTCAAATGCTAGTCTATGCGTTTTGCTGATATTCTGCTTCTTCAGGACAACAGTTACATTAGTACTAGCAAAAAAAGGTCAATCCATCTAAACATATATGGAGCATGGGTGAGCCATCTATGCCATCTCAGGCCGAGGGGCCAGAACAAAATAAGCAGAACCACAGAACCGCCTTTTCATAAGTTAACCTGAAGAGCCAGGTCATTATCCCCAGATAGATTGACCATCTTTTGCCAAGTAATCCTGAAGAAGCGCAAATATCCATAAAACGCGTAGACTAGTCTGGTCACAATATGTATTTTGAATGATTTTATTGTTAAAAAAAATGTTTTTTAAATGTTTGTAATAAAGCAATGTCAATCTTTATACAGTATATATTTGTGCGAATTGTTTGTTTATTATTTTTCTGGAGTAGTTATCCAAAAAAAAAAACCCATATTATTTATTTATTTGGGGGGGGGGGTTGTTAGATTTTTTAAATGATAACCCCAGGAAATTATTTCTGGAATGTTTTTAGTGGCCTCTATACCACTGGTTGAAGGAAAGTGGGAAATAGCGCTGGGTCCATAGAGTTATCTTACTGGTATTGTTATCTTGCAGTATTGATTATGTAAAGCACAGGTGTCAAACTGGTGGCCCTCCAGCTGTTGCCAAACTACAAGTCCCATAAGGCATTGCAAGATTGACAGTTACAAGCATGACTCCCAAAGGCAGAGGCATGATGGGACTTGTAGTTTCGCAACAGCTGGAGAGCCACCAGTTTGACGCCCCTGAAGTAAATGTTCTGGTTTCTGGGCAGGCAGATTTTACACCCCAGAGAATCTTCACGTCACCATGGCTTGTGGTGTGAAGTAACAAAAATTTAAATTGAAGCACCAATACATTTTGGGGGGGGGGGGGTCTAAGAGCACCAACAGCAACTGTTGACAAGGCAGACTGGAGAACATAAGATTAAGGCTAGGTTTCACATCTGTACATCTGTGCGGGTGGTGCTGCTGTGGATCCGCACACCGTACTGGGAACCGAGGTTCCCATGCAGGCTGCGTTTTCTGATGAAGTGCAGGGACTTCTTCCCTGCGTGTCCCGGGGCACGCAGTCCATTCAAATAAATGGGCTCTCGTGCCCACGCAAAACGCGGGAGATGTGAGCCTAGCCTAAAGGTCTAGTTCACTTCTTGTCCATTCATGTTGTTGTCAAAAAAGCCCTAATAAAGGGGGTGCTCTTAGACCCCTAAAATGCGCTGGCTACTTTTTTGGACTATCCCTCGGACTTTTATCAGAATAAAGTTGAATCTGACCTCTTGGTAGTGGTGTGGTGCTTCAATTAATGTTACATTATGACTTCTTGTTGGCAGGGACTGACGTGAATATGCAGTAAAGATGGCCATGCACTGATTACAAATTGACACGAACCACTCAGTGTTGATCAGAGTGTGGCCTTTCCTGCTGAACACAACCAGTCACTGATCAATTTGTGGCAGAGGAACATGCTGGAAAACTTTTGTTGATCAGTGGCTGCAGCCGATAATCAATTTATTCCAATATTGCCTAGTCGTGCTATCAGAATTCAGTGTCTTGGTGAAGGGTAGGGGAGGATTCATCCATCCATCTCATCTGTGTGAATGAAGGATTATTATTTAACCACTTCAATTCCGGACACTTTCACCCCCTTCCTGTCCAAGCCAATTTTCAGTTTTGAATGACAAATGCTCGGTCATGCAACATTGTATTCATATGCCATTTTTTCCATCTTATTCACACAAAATAGAGCTTTCTTTTGGTGGGATTAATCACCACTGGGTTATTTTTTTTTTTTACTTTATAAACGAAAAAAGACCGAAAATTAAAAAAAAAAAATGCTTCTTCGTTTTAGTTATTAAATTTTGCAAATAATCTTTCTTCATAAATTTAGGCCGAAATGTATATTGCTACTTTTCTTTGGTAAAAAATGTGTTTATTATTTATTCTGTGTGAAAAGTTATAGAGTCCAAAAACTGGAATTTATCTGAAAATCGATCAGTCCTGATGTACTGAAGGCCTGAAAATGTTCATGAGGCCTGAAAATGCCAGGGCAGTACAAGCACCCCCAAATGACCCCTTTTTGGAAAGTAGACAGTCCAAAGTATTTAGTACATTTTTTGAAGTTGTAATTTTTTTGTCACAATTTTTTGGAAAATGAAGAAATTAAAACATTTTTTCACTTTTTTTTTCTCAGCAATGCAGTACAATGTCATCATATAACTGGTGTGGCATGATCAGGGACACTGACTGGTGACAGTATGTAAACAAAAACAAAAAAAAAGTTTACATTTTCTTTTTACTTTTCTTCTTACAATTTGTTTTACATACTTTGACTAGAGTAGTACAGTTTTACCATAGTGGCACTGTACTACACTGGGTAAGTGATCAGGAATTTATTTTTACATACTATGATTGCTTATAACAGTGATAACCACTGTTGTAAGCAACCATTTTTTTATGAATGGAATCCATTCATCCATTGTGCACTATTGTGATTAGCTGTGATTTTTTCACAGCTAATCACAATAGTGCACAAACACTTTAGATATACAAGATGTATGATCTAAACAACATCTGAGTCCATACGATGGAACCCTGGATGACCAACTGGCTAACTCGTTTCGAGGACACAACCTCTTCCTCAGAGCCAACCTTTGTTGGCTCTGAGGAAGAGGTTGTGTCCTCGAAACGCATTAGCAAGTTGGTCATCCAGGGTTCCATCGTATGGACTCAGATGTTGTTTGGATCATACATCTTGTTCAGTTTGACATGCCTGTGTTATTATGTCCATTGTGAGTATCATACGTATTTTTGTTTCTTTAATAAATTATTTTATACGATAATGCACTAGTTCGGTGCGCCCTTTTTCTGTTTCTCCATTTGTATCCAGTGTATACGGACCACCCCAGTCTGTTGAGGGCAGCAAGCAGTGCATATTCCAGAAAATTCCAGAACATTCCTATTGGGTCTACTGAGTCCTTTCCTAGCGCAGGAGTAAAGTGTTTGTTGTGTTGGCTGTACCATTTAACCACTGTGACCAATCACAGAGATCAATACACTGAATGAATGGAAACTATGATTGGTCACAGCAATCACATGCTACTGGCAGCGGCCCGGTACATTGATTTGTCATCTGCTGTGTCCGGTGGACACAGTGGGTGACATATTGTTCTACAGAACAGCCCTTGGGGCACGTGCATGGTACGATTCTGGGAGGACATCATATGACGTCCACACAGAACAAGAGCTCTCCCGCTCAGCTATCATTCTATTTAAGGCTGAGCAATCAACCACTGATGTTAGGGAAACCCTGACCAGACCAAGAAAATAATTTCTCCTCAATACAGTGAGGCCAAAAATTTTACTTAGTTTAGGTTTTGGCAGGGCACTACCCCCTATACATAAAATGTATTTTTACTAAAAAAAAGTATTATGCTGCACTAACTTTTTATCCAGCCTCCAAACTATTTCCAGCTGGGTATTCTCCTCCTGGACAAGAACCCTGCTGTTCCAGGCCCCAGACTATTTATACACACCTCAGCCCTTGGCTGGTCACCCACTTGACCAGGGATTGACTGAGGCTGAATGAATATTCAGCTCAGGTTTTGCCTCTTCCAACCCACTATATTCCACAGTTTACTGGAAGAAAGCCAAAAGCAATCAAATTCTGTTCCACTGGCTACAGAGGAGTAAAAAACAAAATGTACCTAATTCTACTAGAATCCTAACTAGGAGAGTGCTACATAAAAACAAATTGAGGGCAAAAAAGCACTTACTTGGTTTAGCCAATAAATGTCTGCATA